TGTTGACATGCTTAATTATGAAAATTAAGTAAATCTAGTATCATTAATTGAAAAGATCAGGCAACTTACCAATGATGATGACTCTTATCTTTCACAATCTAATAGTGCCTAATGTCAATTTATTTATGTATCAAATTTCTAACATTGATGAATATAGTTAACATCAAAATTCTTAATAATGTCTAGAAGATGCCAATCATCCAACTTGTGCATTAAATAAATAAATAAATAAATTTATAATAATTGGGTTTATCAGAACCTACTATTAGCTTATTTCATAATATAAGATAAGGAAACATAATGGGGAATCAAGTGAGAAACAGGAACAATTATTAGGCCAGGTGATCTGACGTAGCTCTACGTTCGGACGCCAATAACATGTCGCCACGTGGTCTTACTCAATATCGCGCGGCCCGACGACTTGACCCGGGATTGCTATGTTCGCGTATTGCTTGGCAATAATGAAAAATATCGCTCTCAGAAGATCAATACCGAGTAATACCTAGAAATAAAGATACTGAACAATACCGAGAAAAATTCGGTATTACTCGGTATTACTTGGTATTACTCGGTATTGCTCGGTATTGGTCTTCACAGAATGATATTTCTCGTTCTTGTCGAACAAAATCGACCAATACCGAGCAAATGCCGAGCAAATGCCTAGCAATATCTAGCAACACGCGAACATAGCAATCTCATCTCTGTTTCGGGTCGGTGTTGTCGGGCCGCGTGATAAATAATGAGAATACATGCACTATTTTAGTGGAGTCCGAACTTTAGAACGTCAGATGGACCTGACCGGACCAAATTAAAGTTCGAGAAACAGAGAGTGTGACTGATATCCAGCTAGTAATGGAGGAACAAATAGATCCGGCAAACCACAAAGAAAGAAAAAGCGCGGGTGTAAGAGAGGAGAGGCTTCCCGGTAACAGTTTCTTTCATTCTTCTTATTTTCTTGTATTTCTTACCAAATATGCCCTACCTATTCGAACTTCTCCATTCTCATTAAAAGGACGATGATGTAACATCCTTAAAGTATCCCCTTAATGCTCGTCAAATGTTTACAAAAGCTAAACAATGGGGCGACGCCGCGGCGGAAACCTCCGCCCTAATCGTCGACTATGTAAAGTTGGCGCTTTGCATCGTTGAGAAATCGGCGTTTTTCATTTTCTTGTTTTTCTATGCTTTTAGGCTGTCGATCTTTGAATGCCTTCTTATCCTTATTCTACCGATATGAGTTGCGAGTTGCAACAACATTCTGGCCTGGTTTATGTCTGTTTCTTCGGCGACGGCATATTGTTTTGAATGAAGAAGAGACGGAAAAACAAAAAAGTTTAGTTCAGGATTTTACGATTAAATCTTGATTTAGATTGATCCCAATTCACAGAGGTATTGAGCTTATTTAGAGATGATTGTAATATACAAGAAATGATTTAGGTGTTTTCATTATTTTAAAATATGAATTTTAAGTCGCCCAATCCATGCACCACATTAGTTAGCCTTGCATTTATTGTTATCTAATCCCATAATGGCTCCATCACCTTATATCAAACTGCAAAATAAATTGACTTATTGATATTCAATAAAAATTAAAAAGGGATTTGCATGCATATATCAAAATTCTTATGTATTTATATATTTAGTTCTTAAAATTTTTATATTTATTCATATAACAATCAAATATTTAAATCACATAAAAAGATACCAAAAAAAAGGTTTAATATGGTATAAAATATTTCAAATATATTACTAATTTTATAATAAATTTAGTGAATTTCAAGCTCAATCTAATATAATTTCTATAGAAGATTGATATATCATCAAAAAATTATCTTGATCGGGTACGAATCTCAAGGCAAAATCAAGTTAGAAACTTCCAAAATTAAAATTGGAACCATATGAACTCCGATTTCAGCAAACTTATAGTTAAATTGAATGACTCGAAAAGACGAACCTAACGACACCAAATTCGACTCAATTCGAGCTCAAATGAGTTCAAATCAAAGACTCAAAGCATCTTTGGAAGGTTCAAACCATAATTTGGATTACCAAACGATTTTTAAACGTGACATGGTTATAATTGAATCGAGTGGCTCGACGAGACGAATTCAACGAGCCCAAAATCATTAAATGTTGAGATCATGAAGGCATTTAAATACCTAGTAAACTGTCCACGATCAAGGGAATCAACATCGGCCATCCATTCAAACCACTCCTAACTTACTCTTGATATTTATCAAAATAGACCCCTCGTTCTTCCGCCGCGGGGGGGGGGGGGGGGGGGGGGGGGGGGGGGGGGGGGGGGGGGGGGGGGACTTTAACAAGGAGAAGAGAAGGAAGAAGAGAAACTAAAGTTCTCTTGCCACTAGACTCCTCCTCGACCACCGTCCAACTTCCGCCCGGCCTCCGACTGACACCAGACTTTCGTTTGCAACGGTCTTTCCGACCTCCGTCGACCGCTGTCTATGATCCTTCAAACTTCCGTTGCCAGAAAACGGTCTTTTTGACCAGTGTCGCCCGCCAATTATGGTCTTTCCAACCTCCTTTGCCACACAACGGTCCTTACGACCTCAGTCACCAGGCAACGATTTTTCTGAACACTGTTGTCCGCCACCTATTATCCTTCAAACTTCTGTCCTCGCCAGACAACGGTCCTTCTGACCTCCATCTCCACACTATGGTCCTTCCGACCACTGTCACCAAACAACGGTCTTTCTGACTATTGTCGACCGCCGACTACGGTCCTTCCAACCTTCATCTCCAGACGGCGTTTTTGGTATGTGGAATCCCAATTATGGTTCTTCCGAACTCCATTGCCCGACAACGATATTTCCGACCTCCGTCGCTCGCTGATTATGATTCTTTTGACTACCGTCACCCGAGTACGGTATTTATGACCTCCGTCTCCAACCAACTATGATCCTACCGACCAAACGAATATATCAATTCCGATTCTTCCATTTTCCACCATGTAATGCACTCAAACAAGGAAGAGAAGGAATAAGAGAAACTAAAGTTCTCTTGCCGCCAGACTCCTCATCGACCACCATCGAACTTCCGCACGGCCTCCGACTGACACCAGACTTTCGTCGGCAATGGTCTTTCCGACCTCTGTCGACCGCTGACTATGATCCTTCAGACCTCCGTTGCCAGAAAACGGTCTTTCTGACCACTGTCGCCCGCCGATTATGGTCTTTCCAACCTCCTTTGCCACACAACGGTCCTTCCGACCTTAGTCACCAGGCAACGATTTTTCTGAACACTGTTGTCCGCCGACTATGATCCTTCAAACTTCTGTCCTCACCAGACAACGGTCCTTCCGACCTCCGTCTCCACACTATGGTCCTTCCGACTACCGTCTCCAAACAACGGTCTTTCTTACTATTGTCGACCGCCGACTATGGTCCTTCCAACCTTCATCTCCAGACGTCCTTTTTGGTATGTTGAATCCCAATTATGGTTATTCCGAACTCCATTGCCCGACAACGGTAATTCCGACCTCCGTCGCTCGCCGATTATGATTCTTTTGACTACCGTCACCCGAGTACGGTATTTCTGATCTCCGTCTCCAACTGACTATGATCCTGCCGACCAAACGAACATATCAATTCTGATTCTTCCATTTTCCACCATGTAATGCACTCTATATGATGTATATTTATTTACATCAAACAAAAGGCTTCCTCCCAAGGAAGGGCATCATTTGTAATTGACTGCAAACACTTGTGCATTTATTCAAATTTGATCTGACCTTTGGTTTTTTTCCCCTTTTCAGGGGTTTCCATGTAAAAACTTTGGTGTCTCTTATGAACACTACTCTATCTCTTTATTTGATTATGTGCTGGGCTTTCGTGTAAAGCTAAGACATTAAACTTTATATTTTTCTATCGCCGAGAATATTCCATGACGCAACAAAATAATAATGTTATCCCTTGAAACAACAGAATTTTGTTGAGTAGATATTGTAAATTAGAAAATTTTATCATTTTATATTTATTATTTTATCAGTTTTAATATAATAAATTTTACAAAAAAAAAACTACCAATGTCAATATAATACTAACTCCAAATGAGAAAAGTTGAGGGAATATTTGAAAAAATAAATTTGGGTTACCACTAGAAAATTTTTATGGGAATATAATAATAATAATACTTATGCTTCCAGATGTTGAATATATATTTAGTTTATATCAAAATATAAAAAAAAGTGAAATAAAAAGCAATCCCGAGCAGGCCCCAGGATTTTGTTTTTTTGTTTTTTGTTTTTTTGCTTTTTGTTTTTTGTTTTCACAAGAGAACCTCCAATGACGCATAGAATGACGCACTCAAGGTTTGGCTCTGAATGAATTTCCAAGAAAATTATGTTTTCGCCTCATGCCAGTTTCTTAAATATCTTGATCACAGTAAAATTTCTTATCACGTTACCTGTATTATGGCATTGATGGAAAACTCTGATTTAAACATTAGTAGCAGTATTAATATTTTTCAAGAAATTTCTAGCATTTGTGATATAAGACATGTTTAGTTTTTGGGAAAGCACTATAAGATCATATTTTGTTTTTTATTTATGAAAAAAGATAAATTATTATCTTTCTTTATAAATTTAAAAAACAATTATTTTATTCCAATAACAGTGATGTTTAGTAGAGGCACTGGTATCTGTCAGATGTTGTGGGTCCATGCAGGCCATTCTTGATGGATCTAAAAACATCTGTAAAACAAGGTTGACCTTTGTTCAACTATGGCCATCCTAGCTGATCTTGATCAATTAAATATTTTTTGTTTAAGACTTTATATAAACAATTTTTTTTTAATGCGAATCATGCACATTGTGTAATTTCACAGGAGAAGTATCGTTCTGAATACAAAAAAAAAAGACCGTTATATTTCTTTTCTTTTCTTGTCTGACTCATTTTACCTGAGAGCTTTGAAAATTTTCTTTTGTAGTTTTTAACAGTGGACAGGCGTGTTGATGTTTTTCTCCACAATTGAGGTATGCTGTTTCAACTCTGAATTCCCCTCCATTTTCATGATTAAAAAAAGTTACCTTTTCGGCTTTGAGCGGATGAGCATCTTTTTCTGTCTGTTAGTCTGAGTCCTTCTATATTGGAGGACAAACGGTGTTGTTGGCAGTAAATTGAAGGTCTAGTTTTCTTCCTTTCATTCCTTCTGGTAAAAATGTCAGCAGAAACACAATCTTTGTTGAAGAAGGTGTACTATGAGAACTGCCCAGGTTGCAAGCAGGATCTGAGGAACGAGGCCCATCCTGGAATACCCTACAAAGAATTTGTTTATATATGGATTGTCACCCTATGCTCAGGTAAGTGATGAACTTGAAAAACCAATCTTAAAAATCAATGAACTTTTCAGCTTTTTCTTGCTCAAAGAATATCGCGTTTACGTGAGATTTTCAGAGCAGTCTGTATTATTCTTTTTACAGCTTCACTTCACAGATTGATTCAAAGAGGCTTGTCATGGTAGTGAAAAAAAAAAGAAGAAATTGTGTTATGGATATTCTGAAATGATTTGTGTTGATTATTGCTACATATGAGATCTAAGTGTCATATTAATCTGAGCATAAATCTAAAAGCTTTGAAGCTTATCTGACATAAAATGCATCAGGATAATTTTACTTGATTTATTTTCCCATCGTACTTATAACCTGATCATTATATATGATTGGCTAATAAGTTTTAATAAACTAGAGAACCTTTATTAAAATTTGAAGTGAGAATAAAGTAGAGCGACAAAACAGGATTTGTAATTTGTTGATAAATATAGCCAGTCAGCCACCACACCTGTGTTGAAGGTGCTATTAATGTCCATCCTTGATGTCATTAAGAGTAAAACACTGGATGCCTTTCTAAAGAGAAAAAGTAGCTTACGTTTCATTAATTCAACTGACAAACGAAGATCAAATATGCAAACACACGACAGTACGTTTGATAGCTGCAACATGCTGAGGCCTACTAAGATACTTTCAACCTGATAAAGCATATGCATGATAAGGAAGTTTAACGAATTATTATTATAGGAATCTGGTAGTAAATTAACACACCAATTTAAAATATATTGCACTTGCATGCCACTTTTTTGTGTTCCTGCTTCTATCATCAATAAAGTAGATTACTGTGCACCTTCTTAAAGAATGAGTTGAGTACATTGTTAATTACCAAGCAAATATTAATGCTTCGTTTGGGACTGTTTTTTTATTACTTTTTGAAACAGCTTTTTAGTATAAAAATTAAAATTTTTGTTCTAGAAAGTTGCTTCAAGAAGCAGTAAAAAAGCCGTACCAAACGAAGCCTAAGTCTATAACCATAGATTATGTTGTACATAACAGGGTCAGAAATAGCAACAATAGTTATCCTTATCAAGCTACTACTGCAGAAATTAAAAAAAGTCGAACTGCTCAACTTATTAATACTTAAGAAAAAATCTCTGTACATTTGCCTGCCCTCAAATTTCCTGCTTTTAAGTATAAAGCTTTCAATTTTAGAGGATGAGGCTTCCAAATAATGAGGACCGACTTTAATTTTTTTCCCTGCCACATTTGGATTTTTGAAGTTTTTCTTTCTTGTTCTATTTTAAATTGCTGTTCTTCCAAGCATTATGCATTTGTCTTCATGACATAAATCATCATAGGTTGGCTATTCTTTGGTTGGTTATTTTATTTTCTCTTAGTTATATCATCTACACCAAAGCTCTTCCAATTCTCATCATGTTTAGTGATATTTGCTGTCGACGTTTTCTTTTTACATAGTTATTGTTCTATGCGCTACGCAATTTTCTTGTATACCTTTTCTTTTACCATATTTAACGTAAGATGTCTAACATATCACTCTTTCTGTGGTTGATTCAGCCTTGCCTATATGCTCTCTGTACCCATTCCTGTACTTCATGGTATGTTTGTTGTAATTCAAACTATTTATATATCATTCTTATGAATTTATTTTGTTCATACAAGAGGAGATGCCATTTTGACATTTTCCGTTTTTGCTTTTCTTTTTTTTTTTTTTTTTTTTGCCTTTTTTTTTTTTTTTTTTTTTTTTGGGTTTGGGGGGTGAGGATTGCTGTTGGGGTTTTGAATGCTTGTTAATCTTCATATGCCATTAACCATTTGTTTCAGGTATGGTATATATGTTAGTTGGTGCTAGCTAATAAAAGAAAATTTGGGGTGGGGTTTGAATGCTCTTTTTGTTAATCTTCATATGCTATTAACCATTTGTTTCAGGTAAGCTATACATGTTAGTTGGTGCTAGATAAGAAAATAAAATTCTCTCATTTTTACACGCTCACCATTAAATATTATTTGATTATGTCAAAATAAGTCCATTTTAGTATTTTGGTTTCCCAAACGTTATGAACATACTGATCTGGGTTGTATGGATCATTTCTTAAGATAGATGACATAGATCAGTAAAAGTGGTGCCTTTTTTTTGTTGAACATCTCATCTAAATTTGATATTTAAAATCTAAATCTCTGTAATGGACTTCAGCAGTCTTGTTTAACAATGTCATTCTATGTAAAATGAGAATTTGCATAGTTTTTGCTTTTTGTTGTTCTAAGTAGATCATTGGTTAAAGACCTTATGTGTGCACGCATTAAGTGGCCTCCTTTTATAATTTGTGAGCTGTCAACAACTACACTAGTATTGTTGCTAATGTTAGTCCCATATCAGATAATTGAAAATTATGTTAGTATAGAAATAATAAGTCGTTGGCCCTCGCCAAAAAGGTTTGAGTTTTTATGTTGAAAATGAGTTTGAGTCCCAATGTATCAATTTCAATTGCTAGATATTTTGGAGTGCTTTCTTTCAGTTGCTTTTGTTTATTATATACGACGTTTGTAATTTTCATAGGTTAGAGACCTTCAAATTGCCAAAAGAGCAGAAGATATTGGATTTTATGCAGGGTTTGTGGGTAAGTATTTATCAATTTCATTGCTATATTGTTGCTTTTATTTGCATTATAATTTCATTGAATCTTTTAACATCCTCAACATGTATCCTATTGAAGGCGCTGCATTTATGTTTGGGAGAACCTTAACTTCTGTCTTCTGGGGAGTGGTTGCAGATCGCTATGGGAGAAAACCAGTTATCATTACTAGCATTCTTGCCGTGTAAGGAAGGAATCCTTTATGTATCTTATTCTTCTATATCCTTTATGGATCTATTTTCTTTTGTAGCAATGTGAACGTGCAAAAGAATTGGCTGATCACTATATCTCTTTTTATCCTCATTGCCTAATTCAAGCGTTTTCATCAATATATAGGATTATATTCAATGCCCTATTTGGCCTCAGCAGCACATTTTGGATGGCAATTACTACAAGAGTACTCCTTGGACTTTTTTCTGGTTTACTTGGTCCAATAAAGGTATATGCTGAAACGAACCGGTTTACGTAGCAGTTTGATTGATATTGTTATTTATTTGAAGAGTTTATCTTTGGCTTTTATCAAGGCATATGCTTCCGAAGTTTGCCGGAAGGAGCATCAAGCCCTGGGATTATCTCTGGTATTTTAAAGTTCACATCCCACTCTTGTGAAGTTTCATTCTACTCTTTTCATGAGTTTTTTTTTTTTTTTTTTTTCATATAATGATATATAATATAATGTATCGGTTCCCAGGTCAGTACATCTCGAGGCATAGGTTTAATAGTTGGTCCAGCTATTGGAGGTCTCCTTGCGCAGGTGAGGTGCAAATTTGTTGTTTGCTTGACAGATGTTTAACAATGTTGCTTGTTTATGGTGGTATAGCGCTGCTCATATTTTTTTTTCCTTGATTGCATTCATGTGAACCAAATTGGAGTCTATGCAGGGTTGTAGTAATTGTAGTGATTTAGATTATCAACGATTGGATTTAAACTTATTTTAGGGTCGTTGAGGAGAGTTTTAACGAGTATGTTCCAAGGAAATTTTCAGAAGGCAGATTGGATTTTGAAGGCAAGTACATGGGTACTTAGGAGTGTCCATCGCGTTAAAAAAAACATATACAGGGCCTATGAGCCTTGCCGCAAGTGTTGTACTGGATTCCCTCCCACCACACTAAAAAACACATTAATGGTGGTCCTCCGGCTCGTCGTGAGCGCCGATAGCGTGGTATTGGGAGTTCTTTAGTTTGGAGCATTATACCTTCGCGAATGATGATGACGGCGATGTCGGTGTGGCGACGACAGCGACAAACTACACACCAAAAACTAGGGGTGTCAATTTCGGGTCACGGACCCGGGGTCGAACCCGAAACTGACCCGATACTATTCGGGTCAACCTGAACCCGACCCGTTTTTAAAAATGGGTCGTTGGACCCGAACCCGACCCGCTTCGGGTCTGGGTCAACCCGACACGACCCGAATGACCCGTTTTCAACAAAAAATTGCTAATTTTCATGTCAAAAACGGGTCAATCTCCTTTTTTCGGGTAAAAAATGGGTCAATCTCGGGTTGCCGGGTTATAGTCGGGTTTTCGGGTAAAAAAACGTGTGACTTTCGGGTCAAAGGGTTAACCCGAACCCGACCCAATTTTTTAAACGGGTCGAAATGTTGAACCCAATCCCAACCCATTTCGGGTTCGAGTTGACCCTAACCCGAAATTTTTGGGTCGGGTTTCGGGTCGTGTCAAATATTGACACCCTTACCAAAAACTCTCTTCTTTTATTTTCTTTTTTGAATCTTGTCTCTCTTTTTTTACTTCTCTTATTCTCCTTTTTTTTAATTTTAATTAATAATAATATTATTAATAATAGCAATAATAAGTATAATAATAATAGTAAAAAAAGAGGGAATGAGGGCTGTTGGTGATTGCTAGAGTGTAGATTGGTTAGAAGGGTATTATTTGTAGTGGAGTAAAGAGAGAATGAGGTGAGGGCTCAATTCAGTCTTGTGCAAGCAGATCTGTTGGAGGTGGAGCTTGGGTGAGGTGTTCGAACAGTAGGTTAGACGAGTGAGCTTGAGGGAATTGGCAAATGAGTTTTAGGTCGGAATTAGGGGTGTCAAAATAGGTTTTCGGGTTGGGCTCGGGTCAAACCCGAAATTGACTCGAGTCAAAGCGCATTGACTCGAACCTGATCCAATTTTGTAAACGGGTCAAAAATTTGACCCAAACTCTATCCATGAGAGTTACCGTGTTGACCTGACCAGTGAACCAAGCTACGTGCGTGCGTGCGGAGAGCAGGTCTGCATCGTTGGCGTTGTGTGTGGTCCATGAGAATAGCGGAAGTCGGAGGGCTTGCGGGATTGCTGATGCGGACTACGAAGGGCACTCTAGATGATCGGGTGCGGGAAGCGCTCAGCGAGATTGGGTTGGATTGAGCTCCAAACATCAAAGTCTGAACAGACGGTGCGAATGTGGGATTGGGCTGGATCGAGCCGTGCAAGTGCAGACGCAGGATCGCGGAGTCCAAACTCTGGAGGATGGAGTTCGAACGCAGGATTGAGCTCATGAGCGTGGGATTGGGCTGTAGAGGGTGGTGTCCATGCCATTTCGGGTTGATCACGGGTGTCCAAGTCAACGCGAACTAGTTTTATAAGCGGGTTGAATCTGGAACCCGACCCCGACCCCGACCCATATGACAAATGGGTTGTCCTGAACCCAAAAATTTTTGTTCTGGGTCTGATTTCAGGTCGGGTCAAATATTGACACCCCTAGTAGGGATTGGGATGGATGTTATTCGGTTGGAGTGGTTTGGACGACAATAGGTAAGCGTCAGCTGTTGAAGTCAGTCGAGTTGGCTGAGAGTCGGATAGGTTAGGTCGGGATTTGCTCGGTCAGGGTGGAGGTGGCAGAAGGAAGCTAGTCGGAGTTCAACTGGGCAGAGGAGCTCAACGGCTTAGTGGTTGTGTGTGATCGAGTCGATTCGAAGCAGAGTAGTCGGATGGCTTGAATTAGAGGCAAGATCAGGAGATTGGCTTCATGTGGGTCAGTTGCAGGTGGGGAAGATCGGTTGATAGGTGTGGTGGATTCAAACAGGGAGGAGATCAATGAAGGAGGCGTATAAGGTGGTTAGCACAATGATTGGAGTAGGCGGTTGGGTATTGGTGAAGGATCAAGTGGCTGATTGAGATCGTAGGTTGATGTCTGATAGGAAGTTCCGGGATCGTGAGCGGTTGGAGTCTGATCGCAGGAGGTTGGACGCGGAACGACGGTTTGAGCTGAGTGACTTGGAGTCGGATGCAGGCAAGGGAAGTCAGAATCGGGAGCTTCAGCCTAACTCGACGGGAGTGGGGAAGGCCGGTAGTTGCAGGGTGTCATGCATCTGAGTTCGATTGGGCCAAGGAAAAGGATTCGAATGATCGACACATTGACAAGGATCAGGCAAGGTGCGAACGTGAGGGAGAAGAAGCAGGGGATCGACGGGCTAGGTAGAAGGATCCTGTGCGGGAAAGAAGAGAACGGAGAGCTCCATTCATTTCTCATTTTATCAGCGTGAACAAAGGCGAGATCGAGGCAGATTTGCGCACATGGGGATGAGCAACTGAATTCGGCGCCGTTTGCAGGGGATAGGTAGCCAAATATACAGGGATTACAGGATTTGAGCAGGGTTTCGGACAGGGTAGCAAGGCTATGATTTGAGATAAAAATTAAATAAAATTTAAGATGAAACTTGAGATTTTCTCGTATTTCTCGTGTTGTCGCCTCGAGATCAGTATCAATTTTCCCGCGCAATTTTCGTTAAGTAATATAATAGTCATTTTTTGGCAACACAGATGTTCTGAAAGCAACGAAGAAGTCCGATTTGCGATCGGACATCATTTGCGAGGTGTTGCATGTCAATTTCGGGTGACAGTCGTCGATTTTGACCATTCCAGCTTGATCTGACTGCGAGTTGGTCCCTATTAGACAAATTTGACACTCCAATCCCAACGGCTCAGTCCGTTTGGCGATCAGAGGTCGTTTGACCATTCAAGTGATGCGTCGTGCTCGTTGATCATCGCTTGAGTCGCCAAATTCACCTCTTTTGCCCGCGTTGATTTGGTGGATGTGTGTAGGTCAACAAGAACTATGATTGTAACCAATTTCATTAGATGTCCTTTCAAGTGCTAGAAAAAATCTTGAGATTTCTAATGCATATCTCCAAAATGTCTATAGAGGTTAAAATGACAACGATTTTAGTCTAATAATCATCATAATCATTAGAAGTCAGTCATGGCTTCGTCCAAGCTATTTGGTTTACATCATGGCATGCTTTTATTACTACAAAGTATGAAAGAGAGGTAAACCAATGGACTTGGTGTCCATTGGCATTGAGATATTTGACTTTACGATACTTTATTTACTTATTATTTTTCTGAGCATTTTCTTATTTGTATTTTTGTTGCAGGTTTTGTCAATCTTTTTTAGGTTTCATTCTCTTGATCAGTATTGAACTGTCAACATATTATTCTTTTCCCTGCTTGACAAAGATGATAATAGAACTAGTTTTAACTAGGAAATGGAGAATTTTCTCTCTCTCTCTCTTTCTCTCTTAATTATTACTTATGTTTTGATTTCCCATGCCCTTACTCTCATCAAAATATAATTTATGTGGCCCCTTCAACTCAGCATGCATGTTTCCTTATCAATGTCTGCAACATGATAATTCCGATTTGCATTTAATGAAACATTTTACCAGAAATCATTTAGTGTTTCTTATAATGCTTTAATCCATCGTGTTCTATCTTTTGTGTTTTTTTCAGCCAGCGGAGAAATTTCCAAACATTTTTTCTGAGGAGTCTATTTTTGGGAGGTTAGAACAGTTTATGATGTTAGTAGAATTAGTTTACCTTCTTGTTATTATACTAAACTCAATACTGCAATTGTTTGTAGGTTCCCATACTTCTTACCTTGCCTATGTATATCAGTCATTGCAGTTTTGGCATTCGTAGCTTGTTTTTGGCTTCCAGTAAGTTTACCTCTTTTTTTTTTCACATTTCACCTGAAATCATTAGTGTTTCTTATAATGCCCTAACTCTTTTGGCGGAATTCTTCATCTTTGGTAATTTTATTATGGTCTAGGTGGTGTTTTTTGAAGGGTTCTTTGGTAGTTATGTTGTTTTTACGTCTTACTATGTGTTGCATACTTGGTGAATAATGATTGCCATAGAACTAGGCAATAGAAACTATTGAACCATATTTCTCGCGTCCTCTGTAAGTAAAGCTAAAGCCACTCGGAGGCATTGAAGCTATAAGATGCAAGCTCTTGATAAGTGACAACATTGTTCACCTCAGAAATGAAAAGTTGATGTAGAGCTAGGGTAGCAGGTTAAAAATATAAGAGAAATCTGATAGAGAGAGAATTTGGAAACGTTGGAATATAATAGAGTTTATGGTAGGAGATTTTTTATTTTAATTCATTCAGTAATGATCCAAATGCAAGCCATAAATTTCATAATAATAGGATTACACATATAAGATCAAATAATTTGAAATCAAATATAATCCCATTCAAAACTAAATCTAATTCTAAAAAAATATTCAAATTTAAGCATTGGTTGTTAGTGTTGGAAGGAGTGAAGGAGTGAGGTAGTGAGGAGAATGTTGAATCTACCCATTATGAGATATCTTTGATTTTAATTTGTTCAGTAATGATGTAAATACAAGCCATGAACCTTGTTTATTGAAATAGGGTTATGAAGATAAGATCAAATAAATTGAAATAAAAGCAAAACATATTGAAAATTAAGTATAATTCTAACAAATATTTCAGACTAAACCTAATATTATCCACAAGTATAGTACATCCTAATCTAAAAATAATATAAATCTAATAAAGCTAGATATCCTAATAAAATGAAACAAAGTTGAAATAAATCTTACAATAATATAAATCTATTTTCTTGTGCTACGTCAAAAGCATTCCAGGCAAGTGCATTAATACAAATCCTTAATTTTTCTTCTGTATTAGAGATACAAACTTTTTACCATAATGTGGCAAAGGCTCTTCGGTTTTCGTTTCTCCTTAGTTATTTATTTTATTTTTTGTACTTAAAATATTCTTCTCTCATGATAATTTTCTCTTTATAGTTTTGTACCTATCTTGGAAGTTTGAATTACAATGCTCAACTAACACTTTCTTAAATTTCATTTTTTGTAATATGTTAAGGATTTTGGTTTTTATGTGTGCAAGTTTTTGCTCGCCAATAAGTTAGGCTTTAGTTCTTCATTATCCTGTTATTATTTTCTGCTCATACTTTGTTGTTATTTGTCACTACATCCATGGGTTGGGTTAATTATATGGCTTGTTATCTATGTTAACTTGGTTGAATGATCACGTTATGTTGTTAATAAAAACTATTATTTTGTTTATACATTTAATCTGTGTACTTCGCTTCATTAGGCTACTTGAATTCTCACTTTGCTTTGAATCTAAGACCGCTGTTGTACGTCTTGTATCCTGTGCTTTGGGAAAAACTTACAGGTAGCATTGAAATATAAAGAAACTTTTTCTGACTGAGAGACCTTTGTCTTTCTTTTATCTTCATAAGTTGCTAAATCTTTTTTGTTTACAGCAAGATGCATTTGTCACTTGCTTATAAAACCACCAAGCATAATCTAAAGTTCTTTCAGAGTATAAAGGCAAGTGGAGTGCTTCTCACACCGCTTTCAATCCTTGATGCCCATACAAAATACTCTTTATATGAAAATCTACAATTCTGAGCACATAAATTTACTTTCTTACTGCTTTCTCTTGCAATTCTTGTTTGCTAGCACAGTATTTGTAAAGAATATGACTATGCTTTGTTTCTTTTTGTTGGTTTTCCAATTTCAGCCAGCTTTTCAGTGCAACTATGAATTGTTTTGACACGCAAGAAGTGCATCAAATATCTACTGAAATTGATAGTTAAATTGATTGATGAAATTTCAAATGATTTGGTAGGAAACTTTGCATTTTCATGGTGAACTAAAGCTAGATGATGGTGCAGTTGACAATCTGGAGTCATTCGAAAATTTCTCTGTAATAGGAAATTCTGGAAAAACTGACGGCTGGCCTTCGGTTTCTAAAAAGAGCCTACTGAAGAATTGGCCCTTAATCTCAGCAATCATCGTGTATTGCATTTTTTCTTTTAATGATACAGCTTATTCGGAGGTAATATTCTGATGTTCTTTTCTCTACGAATTCTGTCATTAATTAGACATACGCAGATGACACCTATGTAAAAGTTGCAGCCTACTTATTTTGTCAGTGTCACTAAGGCTTCGTTTGTGACTGTTTTTTTCCTGCTTTTTAAAGCAGCTTTTTAGTAAAAAATTAAAATTTTTGTACTAAAAGCAGCTTTTAAGAAGCAATAAAAAAGTCATCCCAAACCAAGCCTAAATTTGAATATTTCGCAATTGTAAACATGATCCTGTCCCTCATTGCTTATTATTTCTTTTAACGAAGCTTGTTTTTTGTTAACGAAATTGTCTGATAATTTGGAGTGCAAGGTCAACTTTTTTTATGAAAGAAAAAAATAAATGCAGATTATACTTTGGTCTTTTCTTGCTACTGCTTGAAGTTTTTTCTCTTAGTCCGATTGCTTTAAACTTTATTTACTAGCGTTATTATCTATTTTTAATACAATCAACGTCTTCATTAGATATTCTCCCTATGGGCTGAGAGCAGTGTTAAGCATGGAGGTTTGAGCTTTTCATCGCAGGATGTGGGTGCGGTGCTTGCAATCACAGGTATAGTTACTTGTTCATGTAAAGTTGTAAACAGAGATTTAAGATTGTCGATTTTAACTTTTGTTTTTTAGAAGTTTTTTTTGATTATAAATAAGGGCAGACTTGTGGCATGTAAAAGGAGTTTTTCAATAATAGTTTTTCTTTTTTTAAGTTTTCTATTTCTTCTTTGTGCTTGAGTGCCAGTTTTATTAGAATCTTTCTAATATATGCAAGTGGTGATTAATGAATTTCAAATTTTTAGGGAGGCCATCTTCTTACACTGGTGTGAAGTAGTTTAGATGTTTGTAGATGCTGGTCTTATTTTCTTTCAGCAGTGGAAACTTTGAAGCATGAAACAACTGATCTTATCCTTAGGCAGTGGTATTTAAAGTTATGTGGCGTTTGGGCTTATTTGGTTGTTTGCTTCATCCTCTTGGAATTCTTTTGAATTGTTATGGTAATTCATGCAAATGGATTTTTGATTGTTATAAAGGAGACGCAGTTTGGATTTTGCCACTTTCTTGGATTGAGATTTCATTGGAGGCTTTAGGTATTTGGAACTGTGGATGGCTCCTATTCCGTTTATTGTGGAATTGTTGTTGATGATGTGGTTTTTGGGTTCCATTACCATTTTTGTGAGTGGTGGCCGCGTGGTGTTTAGTTAGCACTATTCTTATTCTACTTGTTGAAGAGATGGCTCACATGTAATACTTTTAGTAGCAGCTAAATCGATTGCTAGGGCTTATACAGGTAATATAAAGATGGGTATGGGTATGAGCATGGAAGGGAGGATCAGGACACTTGGGAAGGACCAAGCACTTGGTGAAGGAGAAATTATGGAGGAATCAGGGGAAATGTGGGAGATCTGAAGGTCCGGAAGCTGAAAATGTCCATTTTTGAAGGATATGATGCACATGCGTGTATCTACAAGGCAGAGGGATACTTCATCGCCATTGGGTTGACGGAAGAGAAATTGACGACAGCTGGCTTATGTTTGGAAGGGAAGGCGTTAGCTTGGTACTAGTGGAGAGACATGAGGAGGTTCATATGGAGTTGGAGGGAGTTCAAAGAATGCTTATTGGAATGTTTTCGAACCAGCAGAAGAGGGGACTTCTATGAGCAATTCTTTGTACTAGTGCAGGAAGGCCCAGTGGAAGATTACCGCGAGAGATTTAAGTACCTGACGAGTCGATTGGATCGTCTATCAGAGAATGTTCTGGAGGAGAATTTCATGAAGGGACTCAAATCAGAGATCCGGGCAACAGGGAGGGTAATGAGGCCTCGTGACTTGGGAGAGGCTATGAAGCTGACACAGCTAGTGGAGGATCAGAAGTACTATGAGAGGGAAGCCAGAGGCAACAGTTCAGGTGGCTCTTACTGAGACCCCAAGGGAGAAGCCAGTAGGAGGAGGAAGTGGGTGGAACTTCAAAAGACTAACTGAGAGGAAGATGCAGAAGAAGAGGGCAAATGAATTGTGTTTCAGATGTGATGAGAAATATACTCCAGGGCATAGGTGTCGGGACCGAACTCTTCAGGTTCTCACCATCCATGATGACGAGAAAATTGAAGGAGGTGAGAGTGAGACAGGGGGAGAGGAGGAGGACAAACTGCATCTTGATGTGGTAGAGTTTTTCCTGAACTTAGTGGTAGGATTCACTCCGAGTCATACCATAAAGGTGAAAAGGGAAATAACAAACAGGGAGGTGGTGGTGTTGATTGACAGTGGGGCTATTCACAATTTCATCTCTAACCAGGTTGTGGATCAATTGGGGGTGACATTGATGGATACAGGGTGTTATGAGTGATGACGGATACATGAATGGTTGAAACAGGCCAGGAGATTTGTCGAGGAGTAGTGCTAACCATACAAGGGGTCCATGTAAGGGAGGATTTTCTCCCATTGAAGTTAGGGAAAACTAATGTCATCCTGGGGATGAAGTGTTTGTAGACCTTGGGGAACACAAAGGTCAACTGGGGAGCATTGACGATGTTGTTGGTGGTGGAAGGGAGAAGGATAGTGATTAGGGGAGATGGAGGGCTCTCCAAAGTCATGGTATCACTTAAAATCATGGTGAGGAGCATACATTAGGTGGGGAAGGTTATATGGTTGAGCTACAAGCTGGAGGGGATCATGTTGAAGGAGGGTGTGGACATGTCTCTTTTAGTACAACCATTAATTCAGCAGTTCAGTGAGGTTTTCAACCACCTCAGGGATTGTCACCGCCAAGGGAGAAAGAGCATGATATCACCTTGTGAGAAGGTGTGTCACCTATCAGTGTCAGGCTCTACCACTATCCTCAATTTCATAATGATGAAATTGAAAAGTTGATTAGAGAGATGCTGGAAACAGGGATGATCAGGCCTTGTGTGAGTCCTTTTTCTAGCCCAGTGTTACTAGTTAAGAAAAAAAGGATGGAAGTTGGAGGTTTTACGTGGGCTATAGGGCGATGAATAAGAAAATTATGCCAGACAAATTTTCTATCCAGTGATAGATGAATTGTTGGATGAGCTGAGTGGGACAGTTATCTTCACCAAGATAGATCTGAAGTCATGGTACCATCAGATCAGAATGAAAAGGGAGGATGTGCCGAAGACTGCTTTTATAACTCATGAGGGGCATTTTGAGTTTCTAGTGATGCCTTTTGGCCTCACTAATGCCCTAGCTACTTTCCAGCCCCTCATGAACAAGATTTTTCGGCCCTATCTTAGGCGATTTGTGCTGATATTTTTTGATGATATTTTGATTTACAGCAGATCAGATGGGGAGCATTGGGAGCACTTGAGGAAGGTTTTAGAGGTGTTAAAGGAGCATCCGTTGATGATCAATCTAAAGAACTGTTGCTTTGCCCAGGCCAATATGGAGTACTTGGGACATATAGTCTCTCAGGAGGGTGTAGTTGTGGATCAGGCCAAAATTGAGGCTATGTTGAGATGACTGCCCAAGAATCTTAGGGAGCTGAGGGGATTTTTAGGGTTGACTGACTATTGTAAGAGGTTTGTGAAGGGCTATAGCGCCATCGCATAGCAACTGACAGAACAGTTGAATAAGGATGGTTTCTTGTGGGGTGAGGTGGCCACGACATCTTTTGAGAGATTGAAAAAGGTCATGACCATCATGCCGATCTTGGCCTTATAAGCTTTCACTCAGATCTTCATAGTGGAGACAGATGCTTCAGGATATGGATTAGGAGCAGTACTCATGCAGAGCCATCGACCCATCGCCTACTTCAATTAGGTGTTGACTGCATGGGATACCATAGTCTATAGTATCCGACAGAGATAAGGTGTTCCTCAGTCACTTTTGGAAGACGTTATTCTGACTACATGTGACAATACTGAAGAGGAGCACCGCCTACCATCTGCAGAAAAATGGGATGATGGAGGTGGTCAATAGGATCTTGGAGACATACCTACGATGCTTTGTGTCGGAGACACCTTGACTATGAGCTAAGTGGTTAGCATGGGCAGAGTACTGGAACAACACTTCAACTTCTCATAAGACTCCATTTAAGGTGTGTACGGAGGTGATCCAACTCACCTGGTGTATTTTGGGCATAGTAGCACCCTAGTTTCTTCAGTGGAGGAGTACTTGGAAGAAGAGGGACAGGGTGTTGGAAGAAGTGAAGAGGCATCTGTTGAGAGCTCAGCATATTATGAAGAAATAGGCAGATGGGAATACGAAGGACATCCAATTTGAGGTAGGGGAGAGGGTATTCTTAAAGCTCCGACCTTACAGGCAGAAAACAACATCCAACAGGAGGAATGAGAAGTTTGCCTCAAGATACTTTAGGCCATATGAGGTATTAGAGAGGATTGGAGCGGTGACATATCAGCTGAAATTACCATCGACGTCGACTAACATCACGTATTCCATGTATCCCAACTAATGAGGGCAATTGGGGATCATGCAACTAGTTCTAAGTTACTAGTAACACTGACAGAGGACTTAGATGTGGTATTAGAACCATTAGAGTTGATCGGGGTTCGTCAGGGAGAAGAGGGAACTAAGGAAATTTTGATAAAATGGAAGAGCCTACCGAACTACGACACCACATGGGAGTGAGAGGGTGAAGCATCAGTTCTCCTCCTTTCACCTTGAGGACAAGGTGATTGTTAGACCGGTCCATGCTGGACCGGTCCAACAGGCTTAGGCAAAGGGCCGGCTCAGGTTTACATGAGGCAGACCAAGTAGGTCTGCACCTTGGGAATTGCTGCCCAAGGCAATTGTGGGGCCCACTAGCAAATCCTATTAGGAAGGAGGGGGCGGCTAAGGCTATAAAGGGATTTATCTTGTGATGTTTAATTGTATGCTTTAATTAGGAAGGGAAAATTAGGGTTAGGGTTAACTTGATGTTTGTGGCTGATTTTGTGTCTTGGTGTTTGGCGTTCTTGGGCTCTAGTGGCATCTAGGGATTGGGAGAGATAGATCCTTCTCTCGATTTGAGGATCAGCTGTATCTTGGTATTTTCCTTCCGTTATCTCTGATTATTGCAATCAATTGTTGTTTTCTAATTTTTCCTCGGATATTTCCCGTTGTTTTTCCCAGATTGATATGTTTTCACTTGAGATCTTCAAGTGTTTCCTATCGGAATCTAATTTTATTGAAGAAATTGTAGTTCATGAATATTAGTTAGAGGATGTTTTAGATATAAAATGATTTATCACTACAATATGAATCTATTTCTGATGATTTTGAATATGAATATGCATCCATAATTGAGCAAATTTATGAACCTAAACATATAATTGATCAGAAGTTAAAATTGGATATTAAGGGAAAATTAAGCATATGATAAATATGAACTTAAATTTCTAATGGAAATTGAACTAATGCAAAAATGAACTAATTATATTTGATGCGATTGATGGATCATGAGAGCAATCTAAAAATGCAACTTTTGATTAATTATCTGATGTTACCATTCCAATAATGAATGATCAAATTGTTTTTTACTTTGTTCTTTTTTCTTGGTTTAGGGGTTCTTTGGTTGGAGATTTTAAAATTATGTGTTTTAGAAATACAAAGTAATTGTAATGCATGCATTTTAGAAATGCAGGAATTGTTTAGTTGGATACATATCAAATTCATTGAAATATTTTGTGTTTATTATAATACATTTCAAATGTATGTAATGATGAGGGTGAGCACGGGGATGATGGCAGGTAGCAGGAGTGGCGCGGCAGGCGATTAAAAAGCAACAAGGGAGGTTGCAAGCGGCCACGATGGGCAGGTGACATGGGTGGAGAGCATATGACGCGAGTGGTGCATACGGGGATGCAAGCAACAGTGAGGGTTGTCACGAACGACATAAAGTAGACACTATGAGAGATTTGGGATAGCCTAATTCAGGAAATTTTCAAATACAAGAAGAATAGATACTTTGAGGTATTTTAAATATCCCAAAAATTTTGTTTTGTATATTTTTTGACTCAAACTAAACACTAAAAAGGTTGAAATATAATGAAATGAAATACCATACACTACTTTTTTTATTGACAAATAATCCCTTAGCGGCGTCCAAATTCATAAATAACAACCTTGCAGAGAGTTAAATTGTATTAATATTTCAAAAAGTTTGATCAATAACAAATGCCTTAAAAGAAACCTGAAATATAAAACTCCAACAATCTGGTATTTCATTTTGTAGGATAGTTATACATTTAATTTTATACGGTTCTTCCTTTGCTCATATTGGCTATCAAAGTTAGGAATGATTAAAACATAATGCCAGGAGGTGACCTCTCATCATATGGCGACAATATATACGGTTTCTTCTGGAGGACAATATGAATGCTTAGATAATATCAGAATATTTTGATAGGACACATGGCGTGCTGCTATTGTTCCAATCCAATGACATTAATGGTTTTGATGTCATAGAGGCTGTCGGATGGTGATAGACCTTAAAGTTTCATTTACTCTATAGAGTGACACTAGTGATATTCATCGCAAAAATAAGCTGCGAGATCAGATGGCAAGCTGAGTAGGCTAAGTTGACCTGGTGGGATTCAATGAAGTTGATTGTTTTGAAAGTACCACATCATCCTGATAAGTGCAGAGCCATGGTTGAGGGCAGAAAACAAGGCATTATAATATCCTTCTTGTACTTCCCTTTCCCCTTTCGTCTCTTCTTCTTTCTCTCATCTTGCTTAGCACGTTCACATTTCCTAGATTTCCATGTCTTCAATAGCTTCAAAACTAAATTCTAGGTCTCATTCATATAGAGAGCTTGTTGAGCTTTGATTGAGTAATGTTTGAGTTGTGATCTCATAGATAGCTCGCTTAACATTAATCTTGTAAGTCTGAGAATATTTGCCTCGCTAAACCTGAGTTCGAGCTTACCCAGTGTTACTCAATCAAGCTTGACTTGATTACATCCCTATATGTAATTGTGTAATAATCAGGTATTCTATACATGCCATTTAAGTTATAATGATTTATTATATTCTAACACTGGTGTTGTGTTTGTTGTGTCTGGCTGCGCTTCATTGGTTTCTTTGTTTTCTTATATATATATATATATACAAGTTGGGATTTTGAATATTTGTTATAGACCTATCATATGATGGTAATATTTTCTAATTTTTTCCTTGAATGATTTATGTAGGTTTTGTTTATTATTTTTTTGTTTGCTCCTAGGTTTTGGTCTTTTGGTGTTTCAACTGTTCGTATATCCATACTTGGATAAGGCACTTGGACCTGTAACTTCGTCCCGGACTGCAGCAGTAAGCATAAAATGGATTTCTCTTCTTTTCCAGCCATGGAATAAATGTGAACTATAGAGATTTATTTCTTCAGATTTTGACTTGCAGATTATGAGCATACCTGTACTTGCTTGCTATTCTTTCATGTCTAATTTCTCAGGATTTGTTCTCATGTTAATTCTTACTTGCGCCTCCTTGATGAAGAACATTCTGTCAGTGAGTTCATCTTCAACCTAAAACTTTCCTTTTTCCATGTGACTAGTTATACTAGACATGCTCAATTTGTTGTTTAAATGTGATCAGATAACTATCATCACTGGCCTGAATATTTTGCAGAATAATGCAGTGGTATTTTTCTATTTTGAAAGCCTTTGGTCATCATTACTTTCTACTTTTTTCATGTATTCTTTCAAGAGGAAATTCCACGGAGTAATACTTTCTGAAGCTTTTATATTTCTTGCAGGCTCAGAATCAAAGGGCTTTGGCGAATGGTATCGCAGTGACAGCGATGTCTATCTTCAAAGCAGTTGCTCCTGCTGTAGGAGGTACTATGTAAGTATCTTATTATACACTATCTAAATTTACGACGTGATAGGCCAAATAACCAATTTAAAATTTTTAGCAGCATTTCAACTAAACGAGTTGACTTGCTCTAATTGTGCATTCATCCAAAATTACATATACAAGCTATATAACAGTTTGTATCCTCCAACACAAATTTCAGATAAGCTAAATCCAAAACATTGTTAGGATGGATAAAAAATGTTAAGCAAAATCAAATAAAGACGAATAATAAACACACCAAAGATCACAATTATAGGACACGCAAGTCTATACGATTTGATGATATTCACATACGTTTATGGCCACACAAAAATGAAGTATTTCGCTAAATTAAAAAAAAGTGAGTATCAAATATTTCTTTTGAACATAAATGGATAAAGAAAAAGATATTGCTTTCTTTATGTGAATATTTGAGAAAGAGAACACAGTCACCTATTGCAAAAATGAGAATCGAACGTGAAAAAAAAAAAAAAAAACGTTGCTGCTGTTGTTTATATCATCTTTCCTTCTTCACTACGAGAGCTTCTTCTTCTCTTCTCTCCTCTCTTACAAGTGCTTCTCCTTGCTACGGCTTAATGCTTAAGCTCTTCTCTCTTTCTCTTCTTCTATTAGTTTGTGGTTGTGAGATACATTAACACATCATAACCATCTCCTTATGTAGTGCTAACAAGTGGTTGTTAGCAAGCATGAATTAGTTAGATGGTGATAGATATCATAATGTTGATGTTATATGAGGTTACTAAGTATTGAGTTTATAGGAGTTAGTTAGAGGGTGGTAGGTAAAAGCTGTTGGAGGTAGGTGGTGTGGGTCTCCGAAAGGATTCCGCTCGTGTGGTTCGAATGCAAAGGGTACGATCACACTATCCCGTAGGACAAAGTGGTCGTAGGCCTTTACACTCGGCACAAGCAGGCCGATGGAAGAGCAGATGGAGTTATAGATACGATTAGCCATGGAGGATAGCGGCTTTCACCTACCAACCTCGATGGATAATAATATCTATAACCCAAAAGTTCACGAGATTTCCCCTATTCGATACATCAGCACCGAATAGGGTTTATTTGATTGTGGGGATCGGTTTCCTACGAGCGCAAGCTCCCGTAGTTAATTACATCCTAAGCCTTGACTTAGGAAAACTCTCGATTAAGGATGTTAGATTATCTCCTCTACAGTGGGTTTAATGCGAAGGGTTTCCTAGGTTTTCCTAATCAAAGGAGAAGGTCCCAAATTGGTTCAATCAATCACGCGTGGTTCAGTCAACATTCGGTTAGCTAGAAGAAGTGGAGACTGGAGAAAAGAAGGACAACGCACTCAGACATGCACGAGAGAAAGAAGGAAGTGGCGTCATCTGTGTGACGCGGATGGGTAGGATTTATAGCCTCTGGAAAAGTAGAGAACTAACCCACCAATAAGGTGTATAGGGGTATACTCGTACCACT